AGTTTAGACAGAGTTAGGGCCACGAGTCTTCATTATTCGTTACAGTGTTTACTTGGGACTTTTTGTTATTTCCATCTTACGCTCGCATTTACAGTTTTTCTTTTAAGACATGCACCTACAAGTCTCCACTTCAGCAGGAACAGGGCATTATCCCGTCACCTTTTTATAAATTAACTCACGGCCGTAGCTGTCACGTTTCATATTGATTTCCTTTCTATAAATAGCTCACCTCTGTAAATAACCCCCAGATGTCCTATTTATTATTTATTCCTGTCATACGCACAGTTCTTCTCTGGAGGTCACAAGAGCACCTGGGCAGGTTTTTGTTTGTGCAGCCGGGGATCCAGGTCGATGATCACAATCACAAGCACAATTTTTGTGAGGGCATTTTGCAAAATTCCGTTTGATCTGGATGAGTAGTTCTACGTGTGGACGGGACATGCGGAGCTCAAACTTGCACTGAAGAGCGGGAGAGCAAGGTGTTTACCCGCTGAAGCACGCTGATTATGAGGAGAGGATCCTTGTAAAATGAAGCAGGTTTGTGTGGAGTGGGTTCGAGAAGCAGATGTATTTATGTCTTTCGTGAGTGGGGAGCTGCTGCTTGTTCTCCTCTCAGAGACACTGACCAAATAGACTCAAAACAGTGGTGGCATTATTCAAAACCACACCTGGACCAGGTGTTTGCTCTGTGCTGGAAGGATGGATAGATGTCCTGCTTTACTTCTCTGAGGGTGAGCAATGTAACTGGTAGTAAAGTAGGACTTTTTACCCCAACTCTTTAAGGTTGGGAGGAGTTTCCACTATATTTTTCTCCAGGAGTTCTTTGTATTTTGTAATGCCTAATGTCTAGATTTGTCCAGATTTGGTAGGTTTGTGGCACATAAATATTCCTACTAGTTTTTAGAGCATGTACAGTGTGGTTTGTGAAACCCTCCGGGGAATTTTTTATTCCACTAAGGGGCCAGTAAAGTTTAATTATTCTTGAAAGACTTCCACCAACACTGAAGTGAACGCTTGTCAGTCAGGGTTGATTCTTCTCACACAGTTTTCATCAAAATGTCAGCTTTTCCTCAGACAGGTGCATTTCAAATGTCAAGTGCTCCATGCTCTTTTTTTCTCACTGAGGGAAGAGTATTGCTAAAAGAAAAAGATCTATTGTTTCAGGTACTTTGTTAATTTATTGATCAGAAATATCAAATATCTAAAATAGGAAATGCTGTCTTTCGAATGTATAAATATTTCATATATCACAGATATTTATTTATGTCATAGAAACAGACAGTACAGCGCAACCATAACCGGAAAACAGGGTCTAAATCTTATGTAATGCAATAACTTTGAGATTACCGATATGTAAATATGGCGCTTTGCTGATAAAACATGACTTTATAGTTGAGTTTAAAAAGGCGCATTCAAATCATAAATGTCTGTTAATATTGTTGTTAGACTGCTCAAACTATCCAAACACAACACAAGTTCAAATCATGAAGAGGAACTGTGAGAATGTCTGCCTGACGGGAGACCTAAACACAGTCTGAGGTGATCATTATTATACATATATCAGGGTATAACTGTTAATCCACCTCAAACTTTTCCTCCAGAGTTTCCCCGAAAGAGCTCAATGAGGTGCTAATTACAAACCAAATAACTGGATGACTTTTGTTGTGTCAATAACAGCTCCTGAGGAATGTCTACAAAGCCCACTTCTTCCCGAAAAAAAGCTAAACGTTTAAATTTTATTTGTCACGTGCACAGAAATGCTTGTGTCCAAGCTGCAGACTGGCTGCACTATTCCTGGGCTTGGTTTTAGCATCGTGGGGGTCTAGGCAGGACCCTTAACTGGATATTGAGTGGGAATCAAACTTGTGACTCCTGCACCAAAGGTGTGTAGCTTTACCACTACACTATCCAGCTGCTGGGATGAACAAATAGACAAATTATCTAGGCGTAAAAAATGAGAAAGAAAAATTAGTTGTTTTTTTTTTAAATATCCAAATCTCAAGCGTCTGATTACTGTGGAGGTTAAACACATCAGTATGAGCTAAATCAAGAAATGGATCGAAATGTCTCGTAGCATTCCCCTCTCTGAGGTACACGTGGTTTTCCTCTGTGTCATCCTGTCCGTTACCAACACCTTTCTAATCCAAGGCATCAGTTTTGGCCATCTTATTTATTTCAAAATATATTGTGCACTTTACTATCAAACAATTTATGCTACAGATTATTTGGTTCAAACGTCATGTGCTGCTATTAACTGCATGTATCTACAGTGTAAAACATGAGGTACTTTGAAACTAACCAAAACGCGCTCTCATTATAAAACGACACATCTTGTAGAGGAGATTTCTAAATAATTTGTGATATTCACATGAGTGATATATTGCTGATGTACATATGTATATAAATAGGTGTAAATGTATTTATATATTTTTTGTCTCAATCTGTATATCTGTTGAATATATTTTCATAGTTCCTAGGTCTCCTCTGTAATCCCCTTTGTTTTGACGTGTTTCTTGTCCTTTGTTTACTCGCATGGAGATACTTCGATATAATAAATTATTTATGGTAAATCTTAATGTACTTTGGGATCAGAGTCTAAAGCATTTTTAGATGGCACTGGAGTTAGTTTGTACTGGAAATCCTAGATGACTGCATGCTGTGGCTAGCACAGGATGTAAGAGATAGTGAGTGAGAGTGTATGCAGATGATATCTTTCTGTGCATATCTAAGCTTTACCTCTTCCTACGCAGAAACTTTTCAAAAGAAATTGTTTACTTTGTGTTTAGATGTCTCAAATGTAATTTTAGAGATCATTTTGCTACCTGAGCATTAATAAAGTTGTCATTGCTTAAGGTGACATGATCGCTTGTGCTCTACTTTTGACTGGTCTGCAGTATTATTCTATAGAAAATCTATACATTCAAACAAGTTATTTCTGATAATTCTGTATGTTGTATGCATTTACCGCATTGAATATAGGTGCACAGTCAGTGTGGTTTTTCACTTGAAGCTGAAAAAGAAATAATGCAACTAGAAACATAAACCAGCCTTTTAGCAACAACCAACCAATCCAGTGACATCACCTTCTGTTTCGGCACAAGATGGCAGAACTTTAACACTCTCTAATGCTAAATGTAGGAAATAAGTATTTAAATTGTGTCTTTATTACTGTGCTCACAGAAAAGGAGTCGCAGAGTGCTTTATAGAAGTCTGAAGCCTAGGTCACCCATGGAACGCTATCTGGGTCTGGTTCTATACAGACTCAGACCTACTGTTAGATTTTGACAGACAGTTGTTTTATTTACACCGTGACCTCTGACACAAAGGCCATTTTTCTTTCATATTTACGGTGGTCCCTATGTGCACACTGGAAACACAGACCAGTCACATGCATCATAACCCCTCCCAATGATGCTAGCCAGCCAATCAAGTCATTACTTCAGAATGATGTTGAAAATGTGTATGTGTGCCAAGTCTGCCAGAAGAAACATGATCATCCTTCACCTTGAAGCGCCTTCAGGGGTCTTGTAGAAAAGGCTGGCAGTGATGATCATCTATATGAAGGTGGGTTATTTTGAGCCTTTTAACTGGGATCCTCAGAGGCTTGGATAGCTGCTCCTGTGGCTCTATGATGCAAGTTGAAGAGAGAGAGAAGTTTTTGAGTGTACCTCATGGTGTCACATCCATACCATCTAAGGAGGTGGGGGCTGTGTAGGAGGACTCAGCATTTTTTAAATGCTTCTGCTGAACTGGCAGATAGCTGTCAGGATGAAGAATGCCATTTAAAGTTCAGCCTCCAGCTACTGAATGGTGCATGATAGACCTCAACAGATCAAGAGTTGGAAATCTGATGTCTGAAAATTGAGTTTCTGTAAATTAAAAAAGAGTCAAACAGGACTTTGCACTGAGCTGTGTGGGGGGGAGGCTGGTCGTAACCTTTAGAATCTTTAAAAGTATTTTATTTAATTTTGAAAACATTTACCACCAGAGGGCGTGTTTTCACATGTGTGCTGCTGTGCGTTTTAATTCTTCTTTACCCTGACCCCATTTCCCAAAGCGTTTTCCCATCAGCCGTTGTGCGTTGCCTGGTTAAGTAAAGGTTTCATAGACTTATTGCATCATCTTGTGGTACAAATGTTTTACATTAAAATATAGCCCAGTTCTAGTTTGGTTCAGCTGATGACATTTATCCGTAACCCTGAATTGAATAATTGGAAGAGAATGGATGGCTCATAAACACAATAACAGTTAGAAGATGAAGTAGAGGGACTAGAAAGAGAGAGCAGATTCCTCCTATACTGGCTTCTCTTCATTGGTTCCTGTTAAATCCAAAATTAAACTGAAAATCCTGCTCCTCACATGCAAATTCTTGAATATTCAGGACCCATCTTATCTTAATGACCTTATAGTATATCACCAAATTAAAGTGCTTCACTCTCACACTACAGGCTGACTTGTGGTTCCCAGAGTATTTAAAAGTGGAATGGGAGGCAGTGCCTTCAGCTTTCTTTGGAACCAGCATCCAGTTTGGGTTCAGGAGACAGACACATCTCTACTGTTAAGATTAGGCCTAAAACTTTCCTTTTTGCGTATAATTAAGGCTGGATGAGTGGACCTGGAATTCTCCCCATAGTTACAGTGCAATAGGTGTAGTCACCATTCCAAGGCAGTAACATAGTAAAAAAAAATTAAACGGTCAAATAGTCCAGGATTTGATCATTTCATCTAAAAGAGGGCTTGTTAAACTATTAGAAAAATGTTCTGGTTAAACTGAGGATGTTATGCTATAACAATTTAGTCTAAATTCTACAAACATGATAGGTGCCACATGTTCTGCCTGTTACGTGTATTTTCTGTGGTTATACATCCTGTTTGTGAGGTCATTTTCATCTTCAAGTCTTCATGCAGCATCAATGAGGCACAAGCCCCCTCTGGCGGCAGGAAACTGGTATGACGGGACTCAACAGCAGAGCATTGATCAAACAAATGCACAGACAGTATTTCCATTTCCACCATTTATTGAGTGCAAAAAGAATATTTCTGACATGGATGATAAGCAGGATGTCTCCTGGATACTAAAGATATTTTGACACCATGAAGAACATTTTTAACATTGAAAAGCCATCTGTGAAAAATTCCCGCACAGAGACATATAAATACTCAAAGAATGTTAGAGGAACATGGCAGCAGGTATAAATTCAGACGCTGAAGACTTGGCCCACAGAGGTCTGCACGACAGGCTCTGTACAAGATTAATGCTACTCAGCAACACTTTCACTTCCCTGTTTCAGCTGTTACACTTCATCCTGCGTAAAACAGGACTGAACAGAGCACTGCACTTCAGTTCATTCACTGCATGAGCATCTTTTTCAGCTTTTCCAATTGTTCAAACTCAAGATGTGCTGATTGTGAAATTTTGGGCTGACGCTGATGTTTATAATTATTTGGCCTATAGCTGATTTCATATTTTCATTCCTTCATTCATTTTATTTTTACTGCTCTTTTTCTATTTTGTGCCAAGGGAAACAATAAAATCTGGAACTTAAAATGACTGTTTCAGAGTCTTTCAGCACTTCAGGCAGATAAACAATGGACACTGACACTGGTAAATGTGTATATATTTATATGCTGATTACCTGAAACCTTATAATTTAAGCATTTGGATCAACAGCACCAAAATCAACGCTACGCTGTACTGCAGGTCCTTCTCAGTACTTTCCCCTCCATCATCACGGTACCCTCTACACCTTCCTTTCAACGTGTGTGACTGTGGGACCTCAGACCAGCTTAGATGTCCACACAGTGTCTTCATACATGTTCTTACCACCCGGGTTAAAGGCCTTTGTCAGTAGTACAGAGACGGGGCAGCCGGCCGCAGGATCTGTCACATATCACTCTCATAGGAGTGGAACAATTCAGAAACTGTAACACAAACACCCACAGTGTCACGCCATGGTCGTGTCTCCCTGGACTGTGATATGAAGCTGTCAATGCCTGGTTACTATTTACAGACCATTCAGGTAACGAGTGAATCCGTTTTGTTCATAATGAGGTCGGGGTCAAGTAAAATCTTTTTCTTCTCCTCTAACGAAAACCGAGGTATGAAGGGAAACCACGGCTTTGGAGAACTGTTCCACCCCTACGGTCTGAAACGATAACCAGCAACATCTCTCAGGTCTGAAAGAGCCTCGTTCATATCACCAGGATACTGTCAGTAAATACACAAACACTGGCAACACCTGCCTTTTCTAACATTAAACACAAACTACATGCATGAGCTAAATTTTACAAAGTTAATCCTTCAGATGATCTGATCACGCTGACACATCTCATTCTACGTCAGCATCAACAATTCCCTTTAAATCCAGCAGATGGTGGGGACAACTATGGAACAAAAAAAATGACAAAACACCATCATCAACAAAAAAAACAGCGTCTCTTAAATTTCTGCATTCTGTTAAAGGGGAATCCCACCAATTTTTGTATCTTTTAAATCCAAGTTTGTTTAGATGTAGTGTGAAGTCATTTGAGTGAGAAAGGTGGAGGTCTGCTCACACCTCTGTAGCTGCTGCACCTAAACAATGGTGGCTAGCCAGGTCAGGTAACAGTTTGGTCCAAATGATTGGGACATCAGCTCTGTTTATATTTTATTACATTCAATTTTTTTTCATATGCTTCTTAAGAATGAGTGAATCATTGCAAACCTATATAACCTTATACCTATTATATATATTTTGTTAGTAATAATCATTATTAACACTAGCACATTTACCATGAAACCACTAGAATCTTTTCTCTTTTTTAATAAAGAAATCAGACTGTCCAGCGCATTGCATGCTGGGTTTTTATTATTATTATTAATAACATTGTTTTGTTTGTTGTTGTATTAGAAGTGGCTTCATTCTCTCTTTTTTAAATGGCTTTGTGCATCAGTCACCACCAGGTGCCGCTAAATCCACACAAATCAACAATCTGAAGGATTATCTTTTTAAAATTCAAACAATAAAGTTACAGTTTACCAGCAACTGTGAGACGTAAACTTAAATGACATATATAACCTACATCTATTTGTATACTTAAAGGAACTGTCCCATGTGTCTGAGCTCAGATTCCCTCCATCAGGAGGTGGAAACAGCAACTGACAGAGCTGTTTACCACAAAGTTACCCTGATAAGAAATCCAGAGCAGGAAGACAAATAACTGGCCTGTCAGACAGAACCTTCCCCAGACTAAGAAAGGAGAAGTCCGGCTTTGCAAAGACTGGCACGCCACAGCGCTGAGCCCAGCTCGTGTGTCTCCACATGTTTTTGTTTACTGGAGTTATGGGTGACACTGCGGCAGACAAAGAGCTTGTTCAGGCTTCTGCTCGCTGCTACAGTCACACAGAGATGGAGCTGCTGAGGTGGCTCGGTGGCAGGCTCAGGCCTAAGCTGACTCTGGGTTTGGGGGAGTCAGTCGACAGGTCCGTGCTGAGGTCGTTCAGGTTGGCCTTTGTGTCAGAGGTCACGGTGAGGTCGTTGAGGTTGGGCGCCACATGAAGGGGAGCAGATAGCTGGGCGGTGCTGCTACTGGCCACGCGACGGAAGACGAAGTAGAAGGGACCGGCTTGCGGGCGGCTGTGCAGCTCAGCCTTTATCTTTTGAGGGTGGGTGTCTGGGGCCAGCTGCTGGCTGTTGCCCTCCATCAACAGGAACAGGCCGTAGTTTTCGGGGTCAGACACTTTGAACTTGCGGGCGCACAGCTGGCACACCTCCTCCACGGTGGCATAAGGTTGCACCTGCAGGGTCTTGGCTGTGCAGCCGCTGTCCAGCTCCTGCAAAGCAACCCGCAGGTAGTTCTGAGGGACAGTCAGAGGAGACGGTCAGTGTTCAGAGAGCAAACATACGAAGCCTGAAGACTCAGATGTTTTTGATTGCAGTTAAACACCGAAAATCCTCCTTGCCATGTTTTCGAAGCTGAGAGGCTGTACTGGGTGGTGTTGCTTTTGAAAATACTGGTGTATAAAAATATCAAAATCAACTCTGAAGCTAAAAGACAACCTCTAAAGCAGTGCTAATCTGCCAGCGTCACAGAAACCTTTTGCACTGAGTGAACTTATTTGTGTGTTCTCACCTGGAAGTCATCGATGGATGGTGCAGAGCGCTGGGTGGTGCGGCGGCGGTGCCACTGGTGGAGTGTGTTTCTGGTCTCAGAGCTCAGCACTCTGGCTGCTTGCTCCTCCTGGAAGTTCTTGATCAGAGACATGGCTCCATACGCACTGGTCAGGTAGTAGCCACCTGCACATCAACACGCACACACAGCGGCACACTGTTAATTATGTGGGGGGTGGAGGATGGGGTAGATTGTGCTGGTTTCCATGGAAAAGTGCCACACCTTCTCCATGCAGCAGTGAGGGGTCCAGCAGCTCCATCATGTAGAGTATCTCATTGTCCAGCTGAGGCATGTCACACTGGGCCAACACATAGGTCAGCATGGGCAGGAAGTCATCAGCACCATACAGACGACCTGTCAAACACACAGCAGGTTCACTCATCATTCCTGCCATGCGACACTGACTGTGGGTGTGGGTGTGGTTTTCATCTGTACCTGAGTTGTCCTCCATGATGGTGTAGATCAGTTTGCAGACTCTGAGCAGCATGCTGACCTTCTTCTCTGGAGAGTACAGTTTACACATGGTGTGGAACTTGTGTTTGATCTTTTCTATGGCCACTGTGTCCGGGGGCTGCGCGTCGGCCACGCCCATTTCCTGTGGCTGCCTGGCCTTGGCCTGGGACAGGTTCTCCTTCAGCTCCTGCCACTCCCCACTGCGTATCTGGAATTCCTGCAGGGCGCTGCTCACTACGGCCTTGAGGGGCTTCAGGACACACTTATGCATTGCTTTCTCCAGGACTTGGTCTGTGGACGAGCGCAAAGAGAATCTTTCAGTGTTTCGCACAAATAAACCGTTAGTGAGCTGAGGAAAGTTCAGCATAGCTGCTAGCAAATCAAAACACATAATACAAACATCACAAACGCCAGGCAGCTGCTGGTGCAGTCTGTCTGGCTCTAAATGAAGGACACCGCTAATCACTACAGTGACTTTGCTCCCAGAGGTACATGAGCTAAGTTACTAAAAGGCAAGCAAGCCTGGATCATGCTAACTGCTAAAAGACCCATTAGCATGCCCTCCAAGTAGCTGATTATTGTTTCTGTGAAGCAGGAAAATTACCCCCACCTGCATCAGCCACACCCACCATCAAGTGCGTAAGTAATGTGTACGTGTGAGTCGCATATTAGAAAACAAATGTCAGTGCAGTCTAAATTAAAAAAAACAAGTAAAGATTCCACAAGAGGAAAGCACATCAGTGAATATGAGTCAGTGCAATAGTGGTGTGTTTTTAGATACCATCTCTCTTGAAGGAAGTGCTCTCCCACTTACTGTTTTCTATCTGAACACCTACACAGTGATAAAATACAACCTGTGATATGAGATCAAGAGGGTCCACAGATCACTGAGTGAGACATGTTTTAGCTGTGACATTAATAATTTTACCCATGTTTACTGCATACCAAATTCATTGTGTACCGTGAGCCATGATTTAAGAGCTACAAGCTGTTAGAAGGGTGTCGCGATCAGATCAGTTCTACTTGTCATCATCATGTGTGTAAATCAAGTTCCTATTGACGACCATGTGTGCAGCTCAAAGTTCAGCTAGGAGGAGTCAAACCATCATGAGCTTCTTCGGCTTGTGCAGTCTGACTAACACACGAGCAGGAGGCCAAACCACAGCCCTGCTGAATAAGGAATGTGTGAGAGATGCTGACTGTTCTCTAGGAATATGGAGTCAGCAGTTTCTCTGGCTGAGCAAATCCACACACACACACACACACACACACACACACACACACACACACACACACACACACACCTTTCCGCCACATGAACCCATCTCCATCAGCTTCCTCCCGATGAAGTATCAAAGTCCGAGTCTGCTTCACGCATGTCTGTGAGATTCCTCCACTCCTCCAGATGTACGCCTACTGGAGCTGCATCAGAGAACCAAGCTGGCAACTCTCCAGCAGCACATTCTCACTTCCTCATTCCATCACTGTGTACCAACTGCCAGTAAACGAGGTGCTCTGCATGATTCTGTTATCACTGCTTGCTGCCACGGATTAAGAATGAGGAGTGAGCAGATTTCGCCAGTGCTTAAACTCTCTGTGTCAACAAACACTGATAATCCAGGGTGTGACTGTGGCTTATCTCCATGATAAGATCTTTCACTCACTGGAAACCACCTACCTGCCACTACATGTCACCACTGACGTTCCTTACCGTAACGCTCTGCAGCTTGGCAAAGATGGAAGTCACACCAAACTGAACTGTTCAAGTATTTCCAAAGAAAAGCTTGAAAAAATGATATTACGACACCACTGTCTGAAACGACCGCTTCCTTTTTTCCTCATTTCATGTAATTTTGAAACATTTGATCAATCAAAAAGGGGGAACCCATTTCTGTCAAATATATTAAATACTATTATGTAGTTCATATTATTATTATTAAAGTTGGCCAAAGTTTCAAACAATGACCACTCGGGTTCACACAGTTTTGTGTGATGTCACTCGGGGGAATATCCCTCACTCCACCTCCTGTTCAATCTCTTTGTTTACAAAGTGCAGGAATTTTGCTTCAACAGCTTCACAAAGGAGCTGCGCAAATAAACAAGGTCTATTTTCAACTGTCGGTAATGAAGAACTGGAGTCTAAGAATAACAACATGGCTGTTTGTTCCTGTTCAAAGGGAGTTTTTCCTTCCCACTCTTTCTGGCTGCTGATAGAGACTCATCTGAATGCTGACGCTCTGTCTGCATGATTGTAGGAGCTTTACCTTACAATATAAAGTGTCTCGAGGCAGCTGTTGTTGTGATCTGGTCTTTTCCCCTAAACGTCTCATCGGTCTGCGTTTTTTTTTTTTTAATTACTTTTAACCATTTTTTAAATGGCTTCTAAAGTTTTACCAACAGTCTAAAATACTCGCCGCCCTGCCTCCTTTTCCCAAAGCTAGAAATCTGAGAGAAGCAGCAATTGCTGCTATTGCAGAACTTGGAACCAGTGGAGTTTGGTCCCATTTGCTTGAAAAATAGCTTCTGATGTCAGCTTTCGGTAGTGAACAGTAAATTTGATATCTAACCGTTAAAACCTAACTTGTGAGCATTTTGGTTAACAACTAGAAGGACAAAACTCATAGCTGTGGGCTTTTTAAATTGGGAGAGTTTTCTTTCCTGCAGTCTCCACTGCTCTGCCTAAGTAATTAAAAACAGTGCCAACATTCCTCACTGTGGACATTAGTTAAGAGCTGTGTCCAAGTCACCCTAAAGAGGGACATGTCCAGATTTACAGACACACTAATGAGACTCCTCAGACTAAAGCTCTGTGCTTATAGGCTTGTAAAAGTGTGAACATATTTTAGCCTGCGGTCTGAAGTTTTCCGCACGTTGACTCTGTGCTTCTTTAGATTGCATGCATGCATCCACCTTAAAATAATGTGAGAGCAGGGTTAAGGAAATGTCACAGTGTCCTGTGTCCTGGATCACAGATGGACTGCAGACATCACAGTGGCACCCATTTTCCTGGGGACAACTTATCAGCCAAGGCCAGGGAAAGCTAGCAATCACACACAAACTTACACACTTCTTGTGTCTTCCCCTCTGAATATAAACATCCTCTCACCAAGCATCCTCCACGCAGCCTTTAACCAATCACCTTGTCTGCTGCAGCTGGGCGGTCTCACATAATACTGTCTACGGGGAACAGCTGAACCTTTTATCCACCATCCATTTGGTGAAGATAAAATAACAGTGAGACCACATCAAATACCATTATACACTCACACACACAATATGTGTGTGTGTGTGTGTGTGTGTGTGTGTGTGTGTGTGTGTGTGTGTGTGTACACAAAGTGACTGTCTCCTTGAACTATAAATAGCCTGCTGAAATCAGGAACAGTAGTGAGTATCTGTTCTGTCACTGAAGCCAGAAGCTACACAGATTGTTGACTTCCTGCTTATAATCTGAACCATAAAAATAGCATTTTGATTCGTCCTCGTCATACCAGCAGCATGTTTAAGACATCTACAGAACAGCAGACCTCATCTACTTTGACCTTTGATCCCATAAACTCCTCTTGAATGTGTTCACTAAAGTCACTTGGTCATTAGCAGGATAAAGCAAGACCAATGTGAATAACGCAAAAAACCCACAAACAAACAAACAAAAAAGTTTACGTTTTCAGCTCCAACACTTGCTCATCACTTCCAGTTTCAAAACAGCAAGACGACGACTGCAGTGTGGTCTTTTATATATATATGAATATCTAGTGTGGATCTGTCTGAAGGAAATAAAATCCACCTTCCAGCATCAATAAACATGTTAATTAGCATGTTATGTGTCATTTGTCTGTACAAGAAGTGAATTTCTGAGCTGATATGTGACCTAAAAGCAACAGCGGAATAAAAGTATCATCAGAGCTATAAGTAAAAGCCAGAGTCCCAAGGTGTGCATATGATAACATCATCAATAAGTTAGACCTGCTTGATGTTGATCTGGCTCAGGCTGTCTGCTGGAGGACAGCCTCTCTGTGTGGGATGACTTCAACACAACAGACTCTATTTTCCCCTGCCCCCTACTCCCCCTCCCCATCCTGAACACATACACAGCTGGGGTGATGAAGGAGCACAACAAGCACAGAGGTGGCCTCCATATTTGAAATCGACCTACTCCCAAAAACCATACATCATCTACAACACAGATGGCCTGATGGTACATCTTGTTTTAGGTCACCTCTCGGTTTCATCTAATTCACATTATGTCATTTTCTCACACCACCTACTGGCAGTGTCAAGTGCGAGAGGGAGAGATTGAAGAACCACAGATTAAAAACAAAGAGTGAAGGGCAGGGAGAGGCACAGTGTGATGGGGGCTTGCGTCTAATCCTCTCCTCTGATTGGAGAGCTGGAGTTGGACCGAGACCGGTTGCATGACTTGGCAGACGGCCATCCAGAGGCATCTGGGCCAGCCGGCCTTTGAGCTCAACAGAAAACACTCTCTGAAGCTGCCACAACTAAATGTTGTGTAAGTGTTCCAAGAAGTAAAAGCCGCAGCAGTTCCCAGTGTGTCATCCCTGAGAAAAACAAGCCATTCAGAGAGTGGGCACGAGAGGGGGCCACAACACGCAACAATGGAAACACAAAGCTGCTCTTTCAATTTTAGTTTTCCCTTCAGACACCACACCGATTGTAGCTGTCAATCAAATTATTTATCAAGGGGAAAATGGAACATAATGAAAATGTTTCTGGCTTTAAAGGTGTGTTAAGCAACGTTTTCCATTTTCTAGCAGCTGAACAGCCTGTGGAGTTTTTCACACGTCCAAATCCAAAAGGATGCTTCCCAGAATGCTTCCTTAGCATTCCAAACTATTTATAATGAAATGAGCAGAGATGGAGATACCCTGTTCTGCTCCGGGTCGAGCTTTGAAAAAAAATGGATCCTTCAATCCTGATACACAAACAAACTTTCTTACAGGTGAAAAAACATTACAAAGTCAACTGTCAGCACTTCTCCACCCAATTCATGACTTCATAGTTGCAGCCCTTTGCTCAACTTTCTGAACGAGGCCAGTAAAAGCAGGTTGGTGAAGTGGGCTCCTTCCTCCACAGATAAAACCCTCTTTGTGCTCTGTGTTTACATGTTTCTGTCCAAGGTCTAATGTGGCCACTGAATCTTGGCCTAAATGATTCAGACTCTTCCGGCAGGTGTGTGTGTGTGTGTCAGTGAGACATTGTATGTGCGTGTGTGTGGGTGTGTAGCTGTCTCTGGCTGTCCTCCTCCAAAGTGCTTTAAAGACATTGTAAGATAGGAAAAAAAGGATAAAAATAGTAAAAGGGCAGTAACAGAGAAATGCAAACACAATTATTGCTTCAATAGAGATTTGCATTCTGCTTCTAAAGTAGACACACAAAGCGTTTTCCAGTGTTCACTGCTAAAATACTGAAGTGAAACTGCTACATGTGCATTAATTGGAGTTAATGTGACTGTGATTTTCCACAATGATTAAGATTTCTGAATGTGTCACTCATTCACACTTCCTAGAAATAGTCACATTTATCTGCAGTCATGCAGGGAGCTGACTACCTGCTGAGAAACGATGAGATCAGAAGCTTAAAAAAGGTAGAAATGTTGCAACTGTGCAGAGCGGCTACTTCAGCAGTGATCTGAGAGGAGTGGTGCAAACTGTCTTTGGTGTAGATGCTGTCATTAAAGCAACAAGCTGACATTGTCCTCTATGATGTTAGTATTGGAGGGTCAGTGCAATGTCTGGGAAAACACAGGTGAGAAAATAAAGCTCTGTGCTAAAGTAAAATGATGGAGGACCACACTCTGCACTGCAAACTCACCGATCTGGTCTTCTGGGATCAGGCTCTCGATGGGCGGCTCCATCTCGGAGCTCTGTCGAAGGTAGCTCTTCATCTGTGTGATAAACTGCCGGAGAGTCTGCAGCAGGTCCAGTCCGGAGTCGTATCCCTGCCATGCCTGGGTGCCCGCACCCTCGCCCATGTAGCTCAGATAGTCCTGCACCAAGGAGCCGAAGTACGAGCTCTTATCTCTGGACAGCTCTACCACTTTACGGATCGCCCTCTTCTCAGGTGTGAGCAGCGAGTTGAAAACGCCACTCACTTTGCGAAAATGGCCTCGCAGGGCCTTCTGGAGGACCAGGGCACTGGCACTGGGGCGACGCTTTGTGCGGTGTCCAGGTGGCACCATGGTCAGGTCCTGGTCTTGGTCCTGATCGCTCTCCAGGCTGACGCCATAGTCGGGTTCCTCTTCGTCATCTTCATCCTCATCGTCGTCATCGTCCTCCATACTGCAGAAACCTAGGTGGGACGGTGGGATGGAGAGGGGGAGGTGGGTGTTGAAGTCAGCCTCAGTGGGGGGGCTGGGGTCATGCATAGGAGGCATAAAGAAAGCTGAGGACTGAGAGAAATCCAGCGAGTCTGACGAGTCTGTGGAGAGGCTCATGTCACTGAGCCGCTGGCTGCCCCCGCTGCATTCGTCAACTCTTTCTTCCTCTCCTCCGCCCACCTCTCCATGCTCGACTGCTGTCACCACGGTGGAGTCTGGGGGACTGCAGGAGTTCTGGGAGCAGGGTAGAGCCTTTTGCCGGGATAGTTTGGCTCTGATTAGGGCCTTCTCAATGGTGTCGTCCTCCAGAGCTCGGTGACACTGAGCGTCCTCTAGACTGGATGTTGGTGAGGCTTTGGTTCGACGTGGAGATGAGGACAGAGATGGCAGAGAGAGGGGCAGTGATGGCCGGGGGATGGATATAGGTGAGCTGATGCTAAGTCTCTTAGGCGGAGAGGATGAGGGGCTGATACTTAGCGAGGAGCCAAGGCGAGAAAGGAGGCTGCTGCCTCGCTCCCTCTCCTCCACCTTCTCCTTGATCCAGGAGATCTTTTCGGGCATGCTGCGCTGCCGAACAGGAGGGGCTGTTTGCTGTGCTGTAAAGCGAGGTGGAGGTGGCCGAGGTGGTGGAAATCGTGTCACGCTTTCTGGCCCGCTGAGTTTGTGACTTGTGCTGGTGTGTAGCTCTGTGTTTCTGTCAGGGTTCTGCAGGTTTTCTTGCTGTGACTGGCTGCTGTGGCTGTGATCTGAGCTGCAAACCTGAGCTTCCTTACTGCTGCCTTTTCTTTTGTCAGCTTCCTCTCTCAGGTCCTGCTTTCCTGTGTCGGGGATGTTGGGAGTGAAGCTCTGATTATCATCTGGCTGGTGGACCTTTAGGAAGAGGGGGTTGATGAAGCACAGCGCTCCATTGGCTTGGCAACACTCAAGCTCAGATGGGGTGCGAGTTTGAAGCCGAGGGCGTCCTGAGGTAGCTGTTGAGGACACTGGTCTGTGGGCAGGTGGGGGTGGTCTGTCAGGGGCTGCTGTCCCCGTCAACGACACTGGGCTCTTCCTCCTGCTGCACAATGGAACATCCCAGAAGCCTAAAAAGAAACAGCAAATGAAAGATCTTGTGTTCATATTGTTTTCTATTGTTTTTTTAACAGTAACCATGAAATGTCTAAATTAAATATCAACATTGTGTAAACAATACTTGTATAATACCCTAAATAAATGTTTTGTAAGCTTTTACAGACTTCCATACAACTTCATTACCTCAGATTATTTTGACCATGACCATAATCATAAAGTGATAGTGTGTTACTGTGATTGACCTGATCTGCTAAAACGAATCCCCAAGGCCATGAGCCCTATAACCTATAAACAAATTTATCAGAGTTGCCTTTTCACAGCTTTCAGATAAAAACAGAACTGATTAGATTTCAAGTTCAGCCACAATTTGGCTTTCATAAATGATGAAAGTAAGAAAAATCAAGGGAAAAAATGGGAAACATTTCCTATAAATCCTTTGTGTTTGCTTTTAATTCGAATCAGACTTTATGTCCAAGGAAATCCCCTGTAAAAAGAAATCAATAAATACTTGACTTATCAAGTTAATGAATAACCTTGTTAATTAACGGAGATTTTAATCACTGACTAAGAATAATAACTGCGTTTTTTGTCATAATCTAACAGCCAAAAGACAAGAAACATATGGCAAGATGAGGGAGACTCATGAATTCAAATATTACAGTCTAGTATCATGTAACAATATTTTTCTGTAAGTAAGAAATTTGAACTGTTTCACCCTCAAAAGCTTTGGAGGCATGAGTGCCACGAATATTGACTAATAAGGGCCAAAATAATTCTGTTTAGATTTCATTGCAATATTAGAGCACCATTTAACAAAGAAAGCATCACCATTGCTCACAATTATCTCAAACTGCATCTGCTGAACAGTCCAACTTGCCTGTGATGTCCCTCAGCGAGGCTGTGTAAAACACAATCAAGTAAAAGATCCTTCTGCCCACTGCAGTCAAACAGCTTCTCACTGCAGAATCAAGTTGGAGTGAAGTAGAAGAGCTATTTATTGGGTGGTTTGCTTTCAAAAGCAAAAAATGTGCCAAGAAAATAAACAGAGTCAGCTATCTTTTTTTTCCACGGTTTTACTGGGAGCCGACACGTTTATAGATCCAACAGTTCAGCGAAGAGCAGGAAAATGCTCAGCAGTGCTCCCATCAACTCCCAGTAAAAGCCCCGCTAAATAAAACAAATGCCAAAAACCTCTAAATGCTCCTTCATGCTGTTAGGAGCTTTTCTCAACAGAGGAAAGAAAGAGAGAAATGGCACTAAACAATTTTAACACAACTCTTTGTTGAGCACTTGGAGTCTGAGCCGTACCAGACAAACACACAGCAGAGGAAACAACGGCATATGAGAAATATTAGTGCCAGACACAGTGCAGCTCCTTCACACACAGCAGAGAGGAAACAACAGTACTTACTGTGACCCAAAGCTGAATGGCACAGGCGAACTGCTGATGTCAGTCTAACTTTGTGTTTAGAGGACACTGCGTCTCTGCAGGCTGAAACTCTGCTGGTTTCTGTGGCTCACTCGCACTCCCTCTTTGTTATGACTCACTTGTGTTAATAAGGGTGTGGGCGGGCTGTTGGCACACTCAACCCACCTCTCCTCTCCCCTTTCACATGAAGCTGCGTGGCAAACCAAAACAAGTCCATCCCCCCATTTCCGTCTTGCGCTGCTGATGTTTATTCTCTCTATAAGTAACCTTTACTTCTCAGACTTGCTGAAAAACTTCTTTGTACATTCGTTACAGTTGTGCTAAAAGTTTACACATACTGATGATGGGAATGTCAGGGTTGGGATTTTAATGATTTCTTTGAACTGCTCTTTTTCCAGGGTGGAATGATTATACAGCATACATCTTTAATGATGTCAAATAAAATTAAAAAAAAAAAAAACCCTACAAAAACTGGCCATACAAGTTTGAATTTATTTTGGATCAAAATCATACATACATCCCGAGAATATTCGGTTAAATTTCCCTTAGCAAGTTGCACCTTAATCATGCACCTTCAGTAGCCACCAAAAAGCTTTCGGCATAGTTCTGGTTAGATATAACCACTCTTCTTGGCAGACTACATTGGTGGATTCCCTGGTGCAGACTAGAGATGGCACGATACCACTTTTTTATGTCCGATACCGATATCATAAATTTGGATATCTGCCGATACCGATATGAATCCGATATAGTGTTTTTTAATCAACAAAACTGTTTTTTAAAATATCTTGCTGCATTTTGCAAGTCTGCAAGTTCATACTCAAGTTTAAAACAACAACTACACTAAAGTTATTCTGTTATACCTGTATACAAAAAAAATTATTTCATAGTTCAGCAATACTGATCAATCTAATAAACTTAGACCTACACCATCCTCCCTATTCTGGTATTTTAAAGAGTACTTAGCGTAAATATTAAGCAACCTAACTAATAGGGTTCCAACTCCCAGCAACAACAAAAATAAATAAATAAAAAATAGGGAACCACCCCTCACGCGCCACCTCATGATGCTTAATCAACGTAATCAACCTTAATTTGATGCAGTGTGAAAAAAAATGCACAGAAATCAATTATTTTTCAAGAAATATTAAATAGATTCAACATCTTTCTTCAACAAAATTGCACACTGCACAGATGGTACCTTCCCAAAGGAAAAAGTACTATAGCTTACTAGGGTATATATATTAGACTTAATAGTCACTATATACAGTAATTTGACTTCTATTCATTTTACATCAAATTAAAACTTTGGGTGTCAGATAATTATTTATTAAAAGCTAGACATTTTAAATGAGAATAAGAAAGAAAAGTATGTCTTTGTGCCCCCTTTTCCCAGTTAATGCCCTATCGGCCCCCCTGGCTAAACTTTGCTAGATCCGCCCCTGCACAGTTACCAGCCGTCAGCTACGTAGAAAAAGATCCTCGAGTAGAAAGTAATATTAAATAAATTGTAACAACAGCTTATCAAGCTTAAACGTGCTGCTGTTGTTCAGCCGCTGGTTTGCTCTTTCTGGTGCAAAGTGGACCAAAAACAAACAAGAGAGACTCACAACAGAAAAGCCGATCAGCTGATCATTTAAGCAGTTTCACGATTGAAGTAGCAGCCGGAGAGCGAGAGGCAGTCGCTCGTTAAGCTTAACGTGGGAATGCTTTACAAACATTCAGAGATGGACTTACACACTTGCTTTACTTCTCTCGGGATAACTTTGTCGGAGATGAAATGCCGGGTTGCTAGCGAAGCTCCAAATGCTATCCAGACCACCGACAGGTCCCGCATGCCACAGCCGCTCTATCACGTGATGCATACTGCTCCGACATGCTAACGTTCTGAGGCGAGTTACGGCGTGTTGCAAGTTTTGTGAGGTGCTTTCGTGATATTTAATGGATCGGATTACATTTTTTATTTTTCTCCGATATCCGATCCAGTAATTTAGGTCAGTATCGGACCGATACCGATACGTAATATCGGATCGGTCCATCTCTAGTGCAGACCCAGCTTTTAATCATGGACTGCAATTTTTTTTCAATAGGGGTTGAAGAAGTCCCAGACTGTCATCTTCAGAGTAGAGAACACCAGTTAGCATGTTCAGGAATAACCCAGGAACCAACAAGACTCCCACGAACTGGAAACCTCTGGAACACAAGTGTCCTGCACAGTGCGCACATACAGAGCCCAAGACAGGAATGTGTTTTGCTGTGGTTTTGTGTAAGAACTGGGAAATTGTGTGACATCATTCAGAGCTACGGCTGCCAAACTGGAGCCAGGAAAAAAAAGTCAGAGGGAGGAAGTGGTGGCTCTCTCAGTGCTGAGACTACTTCAACTTAACCAAGTGGCAGATGAAACAAACTGTTCCATCAATGAACATGCCGCTTTCCATAGGAGTAGATCTGATTATCAGGCAGCACACCAGGATGTTGCCAGACTCTACAGTGTATTAGCAACATGCTGAGCTGATCCTAAGGATTATCATCAAGATCAGTGTTATTACTAACAGATCAGTAACAACCAATCAAAACCCAACAGATCTCTTAATGAGCCTGGAAATGACGCTTTACAGCTCTGCTTTGACAGCCTGCAGTAAATATACAGGTACAAAATAGAAAGTGTGAATCTCAGGTCAAATACTGAGCATAAGAATCAGGAAAGCTCGGGCATTGATTAATAAGTTATCACTCCCATTGTTAACATTCAGACAGAAGCTACTCGCTCTCAGGAGGTGCTAACCTTCCTTTTCACTTGTTAAATTAACTAAGACACTTGCAAGTAACATAATAGTAACACACTCTGGTGAGTCTGGTGTTGCCTGCCTTGCTAGTGTCTTGCCAATATCTACATAGAGCAGTTCATGAAAAAACAACAACAACAAAACACGTGTTTCAGCTGCAAACCTGAGCAACAAATAGTTCATAACTGGATCTGATACTGACGGAGGAACAATATTAAAGAATATGGAGTCAGGGCCAAATAAACACGACGGAATATGACTGATCAAAGGCTGAGAACCTGATGACATCTACAAAAGAAAGGCAAATATTTAGTGATACAAGATTAGAAATGTTTTATTTATCTTTTATTTCTATAGTAAGGAAATTATTTGTAAAGATTAAATAACAATTCAATGATGTTGTTTAAAGCGATGGTTTCCAAAGGTTTTTGCAATGGGAACAATATTAAACAGATTAGAAGTTCGGGGGGAGTATTGATGTGTCGTTCAAAACACCCAAAAAACAATTTATGTTATTGAATTACTTACAGTGTTTAGAAAAATTCAGCTTTACTAATATTAACATAAATTAGGGGTTAAATAATAATGTTAATGACCCACTTGGTCTGAGAAGCTTTATATTAAACAAGTACTCACGGAGGCAAAAACATCCATTCATCTACTTAGCTCTAAGCCCTTGCCAAGAACTCTGAATTGGCTAAGGGCTAACACATATGGATAGCAACCGTACACACCCATGGCCAGTTTAGAACAATTTCACTTACATCATGCGTGTCTTTGGAGTCCATGTATGTTTTCATTTTCTACGTTAGAAGCCATACAGTCATGGGGAGAACATGCAAAATTTCAACCAATGCAAACGTGCTCCCATGCAGTCCCCTGAAAACCCAACAGTACATTGCTCAACTGGTCAAATGCTGATTGGTTGACAAGCTAAGCAGAGCAGGAACACGACAGTGGAGTTCGCCAACAGAGAAGAGCGAAAAAAAGATCAAGGATAGACTTCTATGAAGATCAGACCTCCCAAACAAAAGAAGTTGTCCCCTTTTGGCTGTTAAAAAGATCCGAGGTCTGCACTGAGACTAATGACTAGCTAATGTGAGAATCCATTAAAATATTCACGCCAACATTACATTTATGTCATTTATGCTCTTAGTTCTTTAAGCACATTTTTAAAGATAAAGTTATTATGGTGCAAACTTGCAAACTTTAAAAATAAATTATAGGGAAAACCAGAAGCAAAACATCAAAACTTAATAAATTCAAGACTAAATACAAAAACATATCATTGATCTTAAAAGTTCCCCTCCTAATTTGTCAGCCAAATAGAAAATCTGTACACATGAAGTGTCTAATGGGCCACTTTTGGACCCGGCTGCCAAGCTAAACTTTAAGAACATTACAAAAAGTCAGTTACCTTACTAAAAAAACCTTCCCTACAACAGTGTTATCACAGGTGGAGCGCCACACAACATAGGTAACATGACACTGACAACGTCACACTCAACAGTGATCTTTTCTCCTCTGAGTCAGTGGTGAAAGTAATACCCACAGAGTCTCACAAGCATACTTGTTCATATCAACGTCAGAAATGTCTCCTAGATCAACTATTCACTGTAGCTCAATTACCTTTAGCAACACAAAGGCCACTATTGTGTCACTTCACCAAAAAGGCGCCCTTTTTTATGAATGAAAGACTGTTTGTGGGGGGAGGGGTTGTTAAGACAACAAGTCTGCACGCACTTCAATAAAAGGCAAGAAAGTCATCAAATCATCGTGTCACACGGAATTCTTTAAGAAGAAGTCAAGTCTACCTTTGAGCACCCCTTAATGCCTCAAGCTGAATCATAGTGGTAGAGTCTGAGTGGATAAAAAAGTTGCTCTGAGAAGGATGTACAAAAAGAGTGCTGTGGAACATAAATCACAGGGAGTTTCTGAGCCCTTTGCTGCATGTCATCACCCACTCTCTCTCCCTGCTTTCCTGTCTACTCTCCACTATCAAACTGCCTAACAAAGGCTCAAAAAATAATCTTAAATGCTTGAATGTCATCGGAACTATTGCCTTTACGATGAATTTACAGAAAACTAAATGTTGTAAGTGGTAACCTACCAGGGTGAGATTTATCCCTGCATACTTTACATGTTTAAAAAACAAAACAACTTAAAAAAGGGAAAATGTTTTTGATTTGTGTCACAATGATTATTTCCTTGTCCCTGGTTTGCTGACTTGGCCAAAAATCATCCCATGATAGTAAAAGGGAGGGTGGCACCACGACTAAAACGACTATCGCAGTTATTTGTCAAGATTATTCATTGAGTTTAGTGATAATAATGTTTGTCTTAGAGTCATGCTTTCACTTTTTCACAGGTCTGTGTCCCTAAGAGGAAAAATGTGAAAAAGTTGTAATTGTCTGAGTTGATATTAAACAAGTCACAGCACCGTGGCCTTCATGATTAGATGTAGTGCAGTTTGAGGTGAATTTTTAGGTGGTTGATTAAGTTAGTTGTGTGTCTTGTGGTGACAATAACTCTACAGCACTGTTATAGGATATGATGATTAATTATATGATGGTGGTTATTTATGGTGGTCCAGGGAACAGCTGTGATTGGTACATGCAGACAGGTCATTTAGGGAGCGCTTGATTTGCTCTTGTTTTGTGTTCCACTGGCAGACCACCACTTTCAATATCATTTGATCGTCTTCATTAAATTGCATTAAACTAAAATCGTGATCAAGATTAAAATTGAAATAATTGTGCATCCCTAGTACTGGGTAAGGGATTGAGGCTGGTTGTTGGTGGTGATGACGTTGACCTCACACCATTAAGTCATGAACATGAATAAAATCTCTTCCACAAACACAGGCGGTCTTGCCTGATTTAAACAAAGCTCAGTCGCACTGATCTGGGTGTGGAAGAGGTTTTTGTCCCTAAGACTGATTCATTCAGCACCAGCATGCCAGTTAACTCCTCAAATACCATGGAATGTGGTTGGGATGGGCCACAGGAGGAAAAAAGTTTCTGCAGGTTTTACACCCGATAAATGTGGGAAAAGAGAAAGTACCGTCTGCTGACGGAAGTCCACAAATCAGTTTGAACAAAAAAAACTGAAACTGAGCAATCATTAATTACTTCCAAATGACTGAATGGAGAAGAATAGTAACTGGCTATCAACAGCGCTCAGCAGTAATTTACTTCCATACTTGCAGCATATACTGCATTCCTTAGACTTTCATAAGATAAGAGAGATAAGATAAAACTTTATTAATCCCTCGGGTGGGTTCCTCTGGGAAATTCGGTTTCCAAAAGCACAGCACCGACAAAAGTTACAGAGTTACAGAATATCACACACACACACACACACACACACACACACACACACACACACACACACACACACACACACACACACACACACACACACACACACACACACACACTATACGAAGGGGATAAATAGAATAAATAGGAATAAAAATACAAATACAAGTGAATTGCACATTTCAAGTATTTTTATTTTTATTCCTAATCATAGAATACATAGCTCTATAAGCTACTTTGGAAATAAACAACCAACTATCACTGAGAGTTACACTGAACACAGATGTTACACAAACATTATTCTCAAAATGGCTTCAACATTTAAAGTTTATATGTAGCCAATTACGTCATATTTATTTGTCTCTGCAGTTTGAGTTCCCCAGCTTGACCATTAACACACACTACATATAAATAAGTGAACAAACCTGCACCAAGCTTAGCAACTTCCTCAAGATCAGAAAAAGTTCTGGCTGAAGCGATGGCCTCTGGGAGTTTCAGAGTAAACGGCAACACATCCCTGAGAAAGAGGATCAATGAAAGTTAGAACACGGAGGAAAAGCGGTTTGATTTAAAAAGCTACTCTCAAACTTGTGTTAGTCACCGTGTTGAAAAAGCTGTGGCTCAGCTTTGTGTGCGATGGTGGCTAAGGTGTGGGTTCAACCACAGAACTGTGGAGGATAATATGTGCATGCTGCTGTGCTACCTCTGGGACTTTACCAAAACATTTCAAAGATTTTAGTTTCGGTCATGCAAGCTTGCGTGAACAACAGTGAACCTAATTTTATGATAGTGATGTCACAGTGAAGCCTGGACACACTGGGGCAGTGGAGGATATACATTTTGATCCCCTGTTGAATTCCTCATTTTAACAACTTACAAAGAAATAGGCAGTCTATAAAAATTAATTAATTAATTAATTAATGTGCGTTCTAGTGAGGAAATAAGTATTTGATCCCCCCTGAGAATTTGTCCAGTACACTATCCAACAGATAGTTGTGTGGCAGCTACCAAAGGACTAACTGTTATCAAACCACCGTTCACAGTTCCACATGACAACAGAATTGACCGCTAATAATTTTTGAACCCAAAGGTCATTTCCAAAGAGCTTCCAAACATGGCAGATTTCAAAAAGGATGAAATGAGAACATTGGAAAAGGGAAGGGCCAAAAGGAAGCCTAAAAAATATCTACTGCAGAAGAAGAGGATCTGAAAATTATATCCTTTGGAGGAAAAAAACATAAAATCCCCCAAAAGACCTGACCCAGGTCAAGATACATCTGACTCTTCCATTGATCTACTGTTCATCATAGTCTCATCAGAAATCGACTTGAGGCTGTCAGAAAGCTATTCTTAATCCGCTCCTTTGCTCTGGTGCAATTACTCAAGAACTGGACAGAAAATCAGTGGCAACAGGTCTTATAGAGTGTGGAATCCAAATTTGAATTATGGTTCACATTCAAAAGTCTGAAATTTGGGTATTATCGGTTATATATCAAATTCTGAGGATTCTGAACAAAAAGATTACGTAAATTTGTTCATGGGACTGAATGAACATGATTTTGTCTGAGAAACAAACATTATGCAAATAATCCAGTAATAATGAAGCAATTCCAGACACCAGGAGTGTTTTCGGACTTCAATGTCCAGGATGTCTTGTGAGGAATGCTTCAGCAGAACATTTGTTGTGCGACCCCCGTGCAGAGCAGGCAATAGATAGGTCAATACATATCTGAACAATCAACAGTGCATAAGCATTTTACCCATATTATGAACTGCTAGCAGATTGTGAATACAGGCTGTGGAACTTTTGAGCTTCCTCGTCAGATGCAGAGTTAGGAGCTCAGTGTTTCAAGGCGGGCTCAGACTGCAGCTGCTGCTTCTCCATATCAAAAGAAGCCAGCAGAGGTGGTTTGGGAGTCTGACAAAGATGCCACCTAGATGAGGTGTTTCAGACATATCCAGCCACAAGGAGACCACGGGGAAGCCAGAGGACAAACTGGAGCGATTGTGTGTTTTGGTTGACTCGGGACTGTAACTGGGTCAGTAGTTCTTCTTTCTTGAGTTTTGTGATGATGGTTTTTAAATAACAGAAACAGAAGCAGTAGATATGTGCTTTAAAGCTAACAGCTGAAATATGAATGTCTAACAGTTTGCAATAATGATGGTATGGTGACTTTACCTGCTGATGCAGCAGAAGGCCATGAGGCGGAAAAGGTCCGCAAAGCTCAGTCCTGATCCCTCTAGAGAGAAAGCTGTAGGAAAACAGAAGCACATGATCAGTCCATCAGAGGGCAAAAAGCATTAGAAAAAGACAGCTCAGTCTTTTTAAAACGGTTTGCAGCAACAAAGGCCAATGAGGCAAAGCAAAACATTCACATGTTTTAAGTCAGTGCATGCAAAGTGTGGTTCAATTCTGCTTTATAGTCCCTTAATTCAAAGGAATCCCCACAAGGTTACAAACTATATACAAACAACAGCAACGAGAATGACAGTGTGTGAGCACTTTTCCTCGACTTACTGACTCATTAGTTTGTAAAAGAACACCATGCTGGAAAACAAAGAAGGAAATCCTTAGCACGCATGTTGTTGGTAATACACGAATCAAGAAGGCTGTTTGCTCACAACTTGGCACACAGTCAAAGCTCCGGGCACTGAACTAAACATGACCAAGATCTTCGAATGGTGAACGCGTTAAACTCTGAGTAGAATGCAGTAAGACAAAGACATCATATACAGTCTCTGGAAAGAAGGAAAGTGGGTTAAAACCAAACCTGCCGACATGTACACGTCTCTTTTTTCTGGGACTTCAAATCTTCCTTCAGTCATTTCACTTTTACTTGTTGAAATATTGACTTTAACACATGAAAAGAGCCCTTATTATTACCTGTCATTACAGCAATGACAGCAGGCCTGGTAGCACATTCCCACACCACTCATCACAGGATACCTGCCCAAATACCTTTATCAAAGTCCATTAATCCCAATTCTCTGTTAAAGAGCACGGGTTTAAACAGGCCACAGAACAGACTCGTTACAGAGCAAATGATTCATATGGAAGAATTCCCTCCCAGGTAGAACGCTCCTGTTAATGTTTTAAACTGTTATTGCAACACCTGCAGCTTTGCTTGCCAAATGTTTATCACAGCTCAATCAAGGGCCAGCTCTTCATGCAGTGGACAATAATAATAATAATAATAATAATAATAATAATAATAATGGATACTTTATTGATCCCCATGGGGAAATTACTTGTTTTTCTCTGCATTTGACCCATTCACTCAGTGAAGCAGTGGGCAGCCCACTAAGCAGGCGCCCGGGGAGCAGTGTGTAGGGACGGTACCTTGCTCAGGGGTACCTCAGGGTAGCCGTTAAGTGGATTCGAACCGCCAACCTTCCGATCATGGGGCGACCACTTTACCTACTGAGCTATCCCTGCCCAATGTGGCTAGTGTGAGCTTAGAGTCACACCAGATGGAAAATACCACTAACGGTTACTTAAAAAAAAAAAAACAGTTCCAGACAGCAGTGCAGGGGTAAAGTGGAAAAACTCCATAACAGCGCAAGTTTTGGAGGTATGCAACTGCTGCTCAGGGGGTGAATCCAGCCCTCTTTCTGTTTGCATTTCTGTTTGTCCTCCAGATTATTGCAGAATGTCTCGATGCATGTCAGCTTAAGAAAAGTCACTTTAGAGGAACAGGAAAGTGGTCTTTAAACATCAGGTGTTAAAAAAACAGTAACTCATTATTACTGCTGCAAATCACTGAGATCACAGAGAGTATTACAGTCGATGGAAATGCTCAGTAGAAGACGTTCTGTCTCACTGTGCTCATTGTTTTCTCTGCAGGTGCAAAGAGAAACATCACTGTCTCTTTAGTTTAGCAGGGCTGAGATTCACACTCAGCACATTCTGTTGCCGGGTAAGCATTTGGAAATTCCAGTTCAGTGCAGACAGAAACTGATGGCAACAGACAGGTACAAGAAGTAGACTGTATGCATTCTGGAAGTCTGGGAAATCCCACTTTTTATGTGGCTGAAAATGCAACACTAACACACTTATTCAGAGTGACAGGGAAGGAAGAAGTGAGCACAGAAATAAAGCGAAACAAACAATATATGAAAGCCTGTGACATATTTTGAAGACATAAGTATTAGGGTTTTACTACAGGCTTGTCTGCTATTTGCCGAGCTCATCTCTGATGACGGCCCTGCTGTGAGTGCTGTGGTCCTGCGTGGGAACTTGGCAGCTGGAAGGTGCTCTTGTGTTCATCTTCGACCTGAGTCTCTGTGGTTTATAGTGTCGTTTAGGCCTGGGATTCTTTTTTTCAATTTTAGATTTAGGCCTTCAGCCTTCAGCAATGCTGATACTGCCTGTTTACTCAAATAGCTGGTTATGAGACAGGTGTGAGTCATGAGGAATGTTGTCACCAAAAACATCTAAACAAGTTGGGTTTCTGTTCAGTAATGGACAGTAAATGACCTTTTCAGAGTCCTCAAAATAATTAAACCATTCTATTCAAAGAGTTCTGGTACTGCCTAAAAGTATCCAGTAGAGGAATTACCCCTGTAAATTCTTTGTTCCTCTCCTTGCATCATTCCACTATTAACAGCTCTGCCTGTTGCTGCTGGTGACTGACAGCTTTGTGTATCTCAGTGGCTAAAAATAGCAGAGAAAAACAAACACTTACTGTACTGGCTCTCCTTTACGGGGAAATCTTTGACAGGAACGCTCGAGTCTTTATCCATGCGTAGAGATATGACTTTTTTCTGCAGGCTGGCTGATTTCCTCACCACAAATGTCTATGGGTAAGGAAAGAGAACACATCCAGTTAATGTTTGCACAAAAACTGGGTCATTCTTCATGTTCTGCTGACTCAGCTGTGCTTTGTAGAGAGCTGGAAATACTGTAAGGAATGTCCTAACATCCAGACGCTTCCTATATTTACAAAACGTATACACAACAATGGACGTGTAGTGCTGTATATTTACTGTTATCAGAGGCTAAAAATATCCTATCCTATTTTAAAAAACACAGATTTGGATGGAATCTTGCAGAGAGGTGGGGTATCGGCAATATCATTTCATTTTGGTCCCAATTATCCAAAATATTTTCTTTAAAAACAGACAAACACCGACCATGGCAGAGATACTTTTACTGTTTTTTTAAAACGTTTTTTGCAAAATGAGTTCTTTAAGACTCAAAAAAGTGACTCCCATCATGTTGTTGAGTGAGTGATCTTGTTGTAATGCATATAAGCTGACTGCGGTCAAACAATACACTACTACAATTGTGACTGGTTTTATTGAGGAAAAGAAAAAGTTTGCCGTGTTAGTTGTGATTTCATGCCTCTGTTGTATTAAACATTAACTATTAATCCAAAGTGAGAGCCTCCAGGTAAGTTAGCAGTGTTGGAAAGAAGGAAGCCGCAGTGGCAGCTGTTGCCTCACCCCAGCTTGCTCGTTCTGCAGTATGTGCATGGCTTCCTCGTGGCTAAGGCCCAGCTGTAGCCACACAGTATGGGTATGCACCAGTCTGTCCAGGACGCTGACGCGTCGGTGAAGCGAGTCGTAGCCAGAGTCTCTGGCACCGGCCAGCCCTCCACCAATGCCAGCACAAGGTGAGGCCTGCAGGAAGAGGCCTCCCACTTCTTCCCCCAGTCTGGAAAAACAAACACATAAAATCAAGCATCAGTGGCCGGCTACACAAACCACAAAAAAACACGCAGAATTTTTATTTTAACGTGTAACATTTGAACATATTTCAGAATTGAAGGCATGTTCAGAGACATTCTCACATGGTTCTATATCAAAGGGCGATCGTGGCTCAAAGAGTTGGCAGTTCGTCTTGTAATCGGAAGGTTACCGGTTCGAGCCCCGACTCGGACAGTCTTGGTCGTTGTGTCCTTGGGCAAGACACATCACCTACTGGTGATGGCCAGAGGGGCCGATGGCGCGATATGGCAGCGCCGCTTCTGTCAGTCTGCAGGGCAGCTGTGGCTACAACTGCAGCTGCCTCCAACAGTGTGTGAATGAATAGTGGAATTGTAAAGCGTTTTGAGGGTCTCGAAAAGCGCTATATAAATGCAATCCATCATTATTATTATTATATCCACAACAAAACTGGTATTTATTAAAAATAGTTTTTTATTGACATAGTTAAAAAGTAGTAAAATGTTGTAGATGAGCTGCTCCTTGGCAATAAACTCAAATAAAGAACGATACAAAGGTGGACTGATTAGATCGAACGCGCCCACGCAGACAAAAATCCCCAAAGTGTGGCTAAAATGACGCCTCGACTTCCTTTTTCACAGTTCCCTTTAATGAAATTTACTAGAAACTTTCTAGCAGTAAAAGTAAACCTAAGAAAACAAAACAAAAAACTTATTTTTACTCAATGATCATCTCTCATATGGACTATTGTTTGACGTCCTGGTCACTTGCTTGTCCAACAACACTTAAAACTATTGAAAACATTTATAAAAGAAGTTTAAAACTACTCGACAAAAAACCGACTTCCCACCACCACTGTCATGTGTTAAAAAAACATAAATTACTGAACTTCAATAACTTAGTGAAACTTAAAAGAGTGAGTTTAATATATAAAGTCTTACACTCTCTTGCTCCACCACCACTAAAGCAGTTTGTTAGGCATAAAGAAAGCTCAGACAGGACCACTCGAGCTACAATCCGAGGAGACGTGTTTATACCCCACAGACGGACAGCATTTGGGCAGAACGTCCTCTCTGTCCAGGGTGGCCATCTGTGGAACAGTCTTCCTCAACCCATTAGAGAATGCTCGACATTCAATTTGTTTAAGGCAAAGGTTAAAAACTGGTTATGGACAAATCAAGTGTGTGATCATGTATGAGTTGTATAGTTTTAATGTTTTATTTGGGAACAGAATGGTGTGTATGTGTAAGTTTGGTGATGGAGTTTTTATTATGAATGAATGATGAATTTTTATGAATTATTATGTCTATTTTTATGCTTAAGGACAACAGATGGAAATTAGCCCTTGGCTATAATCTGGTATGTTTACATTCATGTAATTTTTTTTTTACATTTATGTTCATTAACATGCACTGTCCTAAATAAATAAATAAATAGAAAAAAGAAATTAGGAAGGGGGGGCAAATACTTTACAGCACTGTAGACTTTATGCTCAGAAAGCTGATGCAACCGTTTCCAACTCATCAAGAGAAAGCCTTTATTTCTAAACTCTTGTTGTGAAGCATCAGTAGGCTATCCAGTGTTGTGATGGTTCCCTCCCTGTAGGAACATTTATGGTTTGAGTCTTTGTTGGTTTCCTCCTGCAGTCCAAAGACATGCATGCTAGGTTAACTGGTATTTTAGCTGTGAATGTAAGGTTTAAACTGTAGAGGAGAAACAAGTTGTGGAAGAATACTTGGGCTTGTAAGCTAAAGCACTCAGTGCCACCCAGCCTTTAGTTTGCTTGCACAACATTCAAGACATCTTTTAACTTTGTATTTCTGAAAACAGTCAACAGAAGCTCACATATTTACTTATGTTATTTATTAATGCAGTAAAGCCCCCTACTGAGATTACACACAGTTCTTCCAGCTCTCACTATATGCTAAGATGCCCACGCACACTTTTAATGCTCAAAGTGTTCATAGTGTTTAAAAAAAGGCTATGAGTAATTCAGTAAATTTAGTTTCAATTATTCCAACACAGACAGTGTGCCTCGCAGGGCCTATCAACCTCCTTCTCGGTTCCTCAATAACTAACCGGTACTTTCTGAATTCTACAGAAACCGTCTCTCAGAGGAATTAATCACTGAAGTCCACACTGGACCTTCCAGCTAAGGTATGAAACTTTACACTAGATCCACAGGTGAGTGCTGCATGTTCACAAGCAAATCAGGTGTTTGTTCAGAGACGTTTTTTTCAGAGTTGAGAGACGAGTGAGAAACACGCACTGCAAAGCAGCTCCTGTTTGTCAAGCTGACTCCTGACATTGCTCAGTGGCATCTTTGTGCTGATATCACCACATTTCACACATCAAGACCTAAAGGTTTGCTAGGAGCGCTCTCTGCTGGCAGCCATGGAGAAATACACCAGAAGAAATCTAAAGATATACAAGCACAAGCAGACACACAATTTAGGAACTGTCTTTAATACAGACACAGCATGAGCTCACCCCACAAGTGTTTCTGTCTTCTGATCTCCTCCCACAGGCTCCGTGTTTTTCCCCATCACCTTCTTCAGAGTGCCGATCTCCCAGGCAAATGAGTCGATGAGCTGCACAGACACAGAGACAAAGACTCGATGATCAAAGTGCTTCTGCTGCGTTTCCTGTGGTGCAAACTCTTTGTGAGGATCAATCCGACCTTTGGCTCTTGGGAGTGAGGACATCCTGACTTTCAAAGGATGTTTTAGAACTGGGAAAGAACTTTATGGTTCAGCTTAGAGTCAGCTTTAGTTTATGTTTATTTTATTAGGATGTGTTTAAGAAGCGAAGGATGGCATTCGTCCATGCAAATCCTCTTCAGGAGAAGTAGAAGTACGTGTTTGTGGTTGCAAGACAGTCTACTCCCATTTAACCACTTCCCATTAACTAACCAAAGTTGCTACAGAGGAAACAATTTGTGTCTGTGTTCATGTTGGAACATCTTCATGTCCATACAGGTTCCACAGAGATCTGTATTGTTCACCATTCAAATCTTCTTAACCACAACACAGTATCAATATAACGTGGTTTGAATCGTAGTAACTTGAAAACAAACACATTTTGCATGTTGTCTGAATGGCCACATTGTAATTATTTGATGCTTATGCATGTGATGTTTGATTTAAACCAGCAGTTTAGTCCTCAACATTGCCCAACTGTTTAACTAAAAGTATAAGTATTTTATTTTGCTGGGCTCCACTTTGGCAACAAGTGAAGTGTAAAACGCCCAGTCTGGTTGCTGAAAAGAGATTTAACCCAGAGCAAGAGAGAACAAGCAAGAATCCAACTTCCATCTAGTCGAGTTAGAAGTTATGTGGATGCCTGATCACAAACATTTCACAACCAAAAAGGTCGATCAAATGTACTAAAAAAAGACCCACACATCAGCTTTTTAAATGCCAGTTGCGACAGCACTCATGTGATCACACACATACATATTTGATTTTTCTGTATTTCCTGTCAGCTGTTTTTCCACTTCTAGACAAATCGTACTGAGAAAGAAAATGTACAGACACACAAGAGCAGAGAGCCACATTCTTTTGACCAACTATCTTGTTTTCATAATAGCTATGAGCTAGCTCACTGATTTAACACACTGCATCTTGAATCGTTAAACATGAACTGTATTAGCTATCAAACCATAAAATACGCATAAAATATGTGAATAAGACTTTAAATTGTGTCTGTGCTGAACTTTCTTTTGTTTCTTTGTTGCGCAACTGACTTTATTCTGCAGGTTAACTATGGCCTCAGTAACAGCTAATTATAACTTATTGCACATTTTTAAAGCCACTGGCTCTAAAGCAAGAACAATGCCTCGTTAATTTTAGGAAAAAATAAACCATTTTAACAAACTAAAGGCTTTTATGAATATTTTTAATCCATAAAAGATTTCTATATACGATCATAAGCATCTTTTAGGGCTTCATGAGCACTGTATGCCCATCAAATAATGCTTTTTATAAGGCCTTGACAATAAGTATTAAGAACAGAAAGGAAACATTCAGATCAGACAGAAACTACCCTTAACGGGTAAACTGGCAGCAGACACTTAAGGCCAGGAACACATCCAATCAAAAGAGCCTATTTATAAAATTACAACACCCCCCGCCCCCCCCCCCCCCCCCCCCCATTTGTCTTTCCATATAAATTGTTTGACAATTTATTAGATTTTGAAATGTGTCAAATGAGAATTTGACACAAATTCTACCTTCTTTTTTCTTTGTGTCAGTCTGGCCTTGACCCTCGTCAGAGTGTCACTGATGTCATTGGTTTCACTTCCCAGTCCAGCTTCTGTTGGGCAACCTCACATCAGCAGCTTCAGCAGGGTGAGGAAACCTTTAGTTCAGCCGTTTCAGAGGAAATCAAATATCTGACTCCTTCATTTTTTAAGGGGAACATTTAAGGTTCACAACCTCAACGTTTAGAAAGACAACACTTTCTCAATGAAGCCACAGATGTTCCCCTGCCCTCCCCCCCAATCAAAGTACCAATTTAATATCATTTATTATGGTAATAATAAGATGTAGTAGCTTTAAATCAGTTTGAAAAAATGACCATTTACAAATAGAATAGAATAGAATAGAATTCAACTTTATTGTCATTGCACATGCACAGGTACAGGGCAACGAAATGCAGTTTGCATCCATGCAGAAGTGCTTTAGTGATATAGATATATTACAATATATATTAGCAATAATATAGATATGTAAGTATATTACAGAAATGGGTCTATTATGTTATAATGTACACGGTATGAAGTATGTTGTGAATATTCTATAACTATAAGTATGTACAGGCTGTAGTGAGTACAAGCTATGTACAGGATATGGACAGGATATAAATATGAAAAACTATACAGAATATGAAATAAATAACTTTACAGGAATCTGAGATATACAGCTATACAGAAATGGGAACTATGCAAGTTGTAAACAGTTGTAGGGTTAAAAATTATCGTATGTACAGAATGATTGTTTACACAGGGCTATACAGTAGTGCAGTTAAGGTAAGTGAGGGTGTGGATAATTTCTACAGAGGCTATATAAAGTGCTAGTGGTTGCGAGTGGTGGTTCACTCCATGTTATTATTGTGTGTTTGAGGGTACAGTTGTCCATTGTGTGTGTGTGTGTATGTTCAGTCCATGAGTTAACGTGGGTCAGATGTCAGGAGGCAGAGTTCAGGAGTCTGACAGCTGTGGGGAAGAAGCTGTTCCGGTACCTGGTGGTCTTAGTCCGGAGGCTCCTGTAGCGCCTCCCAGAGGGCAGGAGGGTGAAGAGTCCATGTGATGGGTGACTGGGGTCTCTGATGATTTTCCCAGCCCTTTTCAGACACCGCTTCCTGTAGATGTCTTTTATGGCAGGAAGTGGTGCTCCGGCGATGCGCTGGGCAGTTTTCACGACCCTCTGCAACGCCTTCCGGTCCGAGGCAGAGCAGTTCCCGTACCAGACTGTTATACAGTTGGTCAGGATGCTCTCGATGGTGCAACGATAGAAGTTCACCAGGATGTCTGAGGACAGGTGGTTCTTCCTCAGAGTCCTCAAGAAGAAGAGGCGCTGGTGAGCCTTCTTGACCAGCTTGGAGCAGTTGGTCGTCCAGGTGAGATCCTCGGAGATGTGGACTCCCAGGAACTTGAAGCTGCTCACACGCTCCACAGCCGTCCCCTTAATGTGGATGGGTGGATGTGGGTCAGCATTTCTCCTGTAGTCCACGATGAGCTCCTTGGCCTTCTCGGTGTTAAGCAGCAGGTTGTTTGTGTCGCACCACTCAGCCAGACGATCCACCTCCTCCCTGTAGGCGGCCTCATCGTTGTCACTGATGAGGCCAATCACCGTGGTGTCATCTGCAAACTTAATGATGGTGTTGGAACCATCAGCAGGTCTGCAGTCGTGGGTGAAGAGGGAGTAGAGGAAAGGGCTCATCACACAGCCTTGTGGTACACCGGTGTTCATTGTGATGGTAAATTATAAATGCTAAACAAAGAAATAAATTTCCTAAACCAGATGAATAAAATAAACAGCTGCTGCAGCGCCACAAGCAATAAAAGCAGCTTTAACTACCAAATTTAAGGGGGCAGAATGCATATTAAGAGAAAGCCAGGCCACACTGGCTCAGACAACAGCCTAGAATATTCTAGCACTTCTCTTTGAGCTACAGACATAAAAATGTAGACATTTCAACTGTATTTCAGCAGGATCACAATGGGTTTTTGAGTTTTGCTATAAATCATAACTGATTTGTCTCTCTATAATATGACTGGCATCAAAGTATAAGAAAAGCTTTTTGTCCTATGTTTTAGAATATATCAAAATATTATTGTATTAATATCCAACTAATGTTTGTAGGTAGATACAGTAGTGTGCAAAAGTCTTGAACCAGTTCTTATTTCTTTGAATGTATTTTCCATGGAAGCAGAATTTCTTGCAATAATTCAAACAAAGGTGCCAGCACCAGTGTCGTGTTTGCATATAACAAAGTTGTCAAGGAACCAGTTTTAAAATGTATCTTTAGGTAGTTTGTTATTAGCACCCTGTCTGCCTGTCTCGTTTCTGAAATTAGCTACACAGTGTGACAAACATGCACCAACAAGAGTATTACCAAAGAGCTATTAGCTAGAAAGTTGGTGTGAAGTGTGTCTTTAAAAGAAGAAACTGGATACGTGGAGAACAAAATCAGGATAAGAAAATACACAAAGACCTGACACCTGGCGAGATATTCATCTGGCCTTGGCGATCTTTTTTCAGTTTTGAGATCCAAATACTGGCAAACCTGATTTTACAGGATTTACTCTTAAATGTTTTGAGGCGACTGCTGCTGTGACTTGGCACTGAATAAATAAAACTGAAATGCATCTCACTTTCCAGTGACAAAGTGTTTTAGTTTTCAATATCACTATTTTTATTAAACCCCTGTAAAAAAGCATGTGAAATGTGATACTATTTTGGTATTACATTTAGACCAATGACTGCATTGGTTTAGACCCAATCAGACACCCTTGATCAACAGAGGATCGCTGAGCACCAGCTGACACTCAGTGATGTTTCTCAGAAACGTCTGAACAGGACGAGCCACTCTTCTACGCTCTACTGAAAATAAACTTTGCACTATTTCACCTCTAGTTTCAAACACTGACAAGCTGATATTTTCTAAGTGTTAACCATCAGTGCCAGTTATCACAACATGCTAACACCTGCAGCAGCTTAGCTGTAGTCCTGCCTTAAACACACACTCACACACACGGCCTTGTATTACAGCTTTGACTCACATCAAAGCAGTAATGACTTCAAAGCTTGGCACTAACAAAAAACCTCAACTACAGCAAGTGACACACTCTGCATGCAATTGTGCAGGGCTGCTATTAACAAAGGAGAACCTACCACACACCCACACACATGCATGTGTGCTGAAGTCACCGTTTCACACTCACCGCATGGACACCTGTCCTAACAGACTCCATACACTTGCATGCCGTGCAAACGCCGAGACAGTGATTTCCGCTCTACATCAGTACGATTTATTAAAGGTGTAATTAAAAGGCCTGAAAGTCCCAGACAACATAACACTTTTAATGAGTGTTAAAAACAGCGTTGTCTGTGAGAAGCAGTGGAGTGGATTCAGCACCACAGCGACTCTCTTCAGACCTCACAAAGCTTCGAATACAAAGAGTTGCTCCTAGTAACATTTTCAAAGCATGTCCTATTAAATTTAGGATGAAATATTGATTTAATAGTAAAAATAATTTATCTACAAATAATAATACAATGTTGAACACTGTGGGAAACTGTTGGGAGTGGTGAGGAGGACTCACAGAGCACAGTTCTGCAGGAGCGCACCAGAACAAAGTTCGGCCACAAGTTGGGAAAAACTAAATATGCACTTCATAGATTTCAGTTAATTCATCTTTTTAAAGGTCTAATCGAGCCAAAAAGACCAAACTGTGTGTTTCTGAATTAAAATCTGACTCACAGCAGTGCAATTTTTTTCTTCTACGGTCTTCAGTAACTGAGATGAGCATTTAAACAAATAACCTGATGAACTATTCGTGCACTCAGGTCAGATGTAGAGTACTCCTGTTGTTGCGCTGCACAGGCAGAGACACTGCTTTATGTTCCAGCGTTATCACATCTTTTTTATTTGTGTAATGAAATTGTCAATTTAGGGTCATAATGACACCATTTAACAACTCTGCTCACCCCACAAGTCTTGTCTCAGGGGTTACTGAGACAAGACTGTTCCCTTTTTTCCAAATACATCCAATTAAATTTTACTTTACTGTACTTTATCTGACAACTATCACATCTCGTCAGTGCCAGAGTTACTGTGCCACTCTGTTGCTCTAAGTGTAAGACGAAATAAGGAAATTAAGGGTGGATTTTCTCACAAAGTTGATTTCAGTCTTAATGAAATTCCCCTAATAAATAAATGTCTATGAAAAAGAAAAGTGATTGCTTTTCTTCATTTCTTCGTCAGTCAGAATTTCTTTAGTAGGAAATGTAGGAAATTTTGACAATAGCCTGATTTCTTGTGGTCTGATGAACGTGATGCTGACTGCAACTTCTTCCTCAAAAACTTCAGGTAGAGACAGTGAGGGACCGTCTCTACCTGAAGCGTGCTGAGCGCAGCTCTGTTTGTAAGGATGTTTCTGACTGCTCAGAGTGGCACACACCTTGAAGAAACTGCCCTTGCTGTCCCGCTTGGAGGGCAGACTGATGTTACTTGTAGACATGTTGCCTCTGTGGTCGTCTCTGTGCGCCTGTCTGCTGAGCCGTCTATGCAGGAGGGGAAAAAACACACACAAACATTAGAGACAAACAAAGGAGATTCAGTCGTTCAGAAACACCATTTCCCCACCACACTTTTTCTCATTGTCTTCCTCTAAACCATTTGAAATAAATTAAGGCTGCTTGTGTGTGGAAGGAAACAACCCCAGCTCAGAAAACAGCCCAAAAAATTAAGGATTCACTTTCCTTCACTTGCTAGCACAAATACATACTAGAGCACATGTTCTCTTGGGATATAAAGGTACTATGTACATATGTACTGTGATTTAAATATGGGACAAAGCTGATATCTCTTTCTAGTTTCTGTACTCTTGCTGCAGAAAGTTTTACAGTGTTGTGAAAAATTATTTGTCTCCTTCCTGATTTCTTAGTTTGCTGCATATTTAATCAAACTATTTTTACTTTTTTCAAAAAAACTAACTGATGAATGATGGTGTGATTTATTGAGGGCTATCCAACTGGTATTGCTCTACCTCACTCCTCATTAATCATGGTTTTAAAATAATTTCTATCTTAAGCAACATGCATATTTTAGGTCTTATACTCTGAAAAACATTTCACTCAAAACAAATTCCAAAGCAGATTTGTGTTTCCTACAATACTGTTTGTGTTTTTAAACAGACTGAACGCACGAGCATACGCAGAGGCACGCTTCTCACAGATGTTGTGGCGGATCCTTTTACAGCAGCTGATACGAGCCAGCTGTGAGTGGCATGCAAACACATTGCAGTCCTTCCCTTTAAAGAAACACATGAGTAAGAGGAAAACACCAGCAACCACTAGCTGACCCAAAATCCTTTCCTCTTCAGAGTGCTTGAACAGAGGCTGTTATGAAAGCATAAATCTTGAGTCTGCGGCTGGACTCAAGATTATGTGGAACAAGCGGACACGCGGTGGTTTTACCGTCGTTGTTGCTAACGACAACGCATAAAAACAAACGCTTGTCTGTCTGTAGTGTGGTTATATTAAATATAAGAGAAAGAGAGAACTTTAACTAATTAACATAGCCACTACAGTGACCATCAAAACCATGAAAAAAATATTGCCGTAAACAGTTTATTTTGCGACACGACGAAACAAACAATAGCGTAAAATGAAACGATGGACGTTTTCATATCGTCATCCGATATATATCGTTATATCGAACAGCCCTACTCGAGCTAGAGGTCAAACGTCTAACTGTTGATGCCCTCAGACATATATGACATGAGGGAATGCAATGTATAGAAAACTATTATATGTAATCTATACATGTAATCCTGAGGCAACAAGAACTTCTGTCCATAACAATCCTGGTAACAGAGCTGTGATGACACAGAGCTACTCTAAGTTTAAGGACATGGAACTTTGCCAAGAGAGTGAGGTTGGGCGTCCACTACCCCACTAGTGGTAGTGTTTAAGATATCTGAAGCTCCATCATGGTAAGCATGGACAGAGCCTAAGGCTGGTTTTCCCCACTGAGGTGTTTTTACCCTTTAAGCCTTGAAAAACAATTTGAGTCAAGCAGATACCATCTCTTGGGCTCAGGGTTCCAACATCTGAAAAGAACAATGATCTGGTCATTTTTAACAAAAAGGAATCACTTGGCGAACATCTGATTTGAGGGACTCTTGGACAGTTTATGAACGTAAAACTATGCAGACCGTCTTAAACAATGACGCATGCACTCTAGAGCAGCCCAACAGTGACATGGACAAAGAAGTCACATATAAGCTAATCCACGAGGAGCTTCTCTGTAACACTGATCATTTAGTGATAGAACAGCCTGGACCCACCTTCACTAATTCAAGCCATGACATGTAGTGCACCATGTCAGGTTGGTGTTGCCTGACATGTTTCCTCATGTCCATTCTGCTAGGACAACACAGTCTCACCATTTTTAAAAACCAGATCCTTTAGATTCACTGCTAGAAACTAAATGGTGCTGGCAGTGAATGGAGCTGACCAAACCACAGGGATAAAATAAACAAGGACAGGATGCACTGATGAGACATCTAGATGTTGAACCAAGGGGAGAAGTCTTTTTTTTTTTTGGAAAAACAACAACACCAGAGCATCAGATTTCCCTTTTATTACTATTAATTTTCTTTTTTCTTTTTTTTTTGGCTTGAGAAAATTGGCAAACATTGATTGAGAAACCTTGAGAAAAACAGGTTTCTTTCCTGGAAAGCAAGCACAGCTAAAGATTCACAGAAGGCATGCGACCTCACTGTTTTTTGTTGTTTTGGTTTTTCCCAGCATGCCTCGTTTCTCCTCTCCTCCTCACAAATCTATCGGGGCTCTGTTGGGTCAAGTCCTCATGTGAAAACAAAGCAGCAGGTGGGGTTATAGTAAGATGTGTTTGTGATTGTGTGTGCAAGCTGCAAGTGTGTGATTCACACACAGTCCAAACCCAGTAAACAGGAAGGCTGGTTGTCAGTCCATGAAAAATAAACAGACTGCCAGTTCCCCAGAATAATAAATAGCAGAAGGAATGCATAAATTACACAAAGTGAGAAACAAACAGTGGTGCAATATGTTAACGCCAGATGATTAAGTAATAAAAAGAATGAGGAATAAGGAAACGAGCTGTTTGATCACCTGCTGAAGTCTGCATTGGAACTAATGTAAGTTCTGTATCTTTTGAACACACACGGAGTATTTCATTGCAGTTTTTTTCCTTTTGAAAACAGTACTTTATGGTTTATGGAAAATCCATAAATTATGGCCACAAATCATAACCCTGATTTGAGAATGGGCTTTGCAATAGATCGTCAACATTTCAGTGTCAAGAGTTCCAAAATCTCCGTCTTAATGAAATGACATTGATGACAAGCAAGGAATCATCTGTCATTTTCCTCCAGTTACTATATTTGGTGTTCTTCTTTACCAGTCCGTACATACACTCTGTGACAGTAAGTCACATGCTGCACGGTTCCCAGGAAAATGGGGCTTAACAAAGTCGGCGAGTAAACTACTACAACAGAACATGTGGAAATGAAAACGTGAATCATACGTGTGTGTCACTGTGTCATGTTTACAGTAAAGCAGCTATCAGCTGCAGAGCTGCAACACATACAAACCATGTGACATACCTGTAGACACCTTAGATTTTTTTTTCCATTTGTTCAAAGAGACACATCAGAGTTTAGATGTGATGTAAACGTCCACATTAATCTTTAGAAAAAATGAAACACACTCAAGAAGCCAACAAACGTAAGTGCAGCAAACACCAGCTCAGCAATGCTGGAATCCACAACTATGGCTGAAAGAGGGAAACAAACTGAGATGAGTCATATCCTTTAACAAAAGCCTGGCTTTTGTTATGAAAACTACACCTCTATCACATGTTTTGCGTTCAGGGTCCTGGTATTAGCATAGCTGCTACTACATAATACTTGTACCAGCCTTTTTAACACAGCGTGTTAGACCACTATGGTAAGAGTGACTAAATGTGTTCACTGACTGCAGAAGCGTTTAGAAGCCCAGCGTGTACCACTACAGGACCAGGCCTGACTTTAAACAGTGCTGCCTGAGGTCTCAAAAATCTCAGACATTCATTGTTTTCCTTTCCTCCTCCAGATTATCTTAACCTTTGAAGAAATGTTATGGTCATATTTCTGTGTGTCTGAGTTCAAGTGAAAAATGCGTATGCTGTCCCAAGAGACCTTGAGAAGAGTAAATGACATTCATGTGTTCACATAACTGATCAATCGGTTCAATACAGAGCCTCACAGTGAATACATTACATGGAGTTAATACTGCTTTTTGTAGCTGATCTACCATCTTTTGCAGTATTTTTAAGCACCAAGTGCACGAACCCTATTAGTGTTCTACCTCAGAGCAGTCTGAGGTCCCTGTATGTCTGAGCATGTGTGCTGAGACATAAAGGAACTGAGTGGACTACTGAAGCTTACTGTTCACACTTAAAACCACAAGAAGCTCCCACCCTCCCAGCCTAACATATAGCTGTACAACACTCATTTTCATAGGTGTCTTTTTAGCAGTGCCACATGACTCACCATTATGTGTTCGGTTACTATTTCCCAACAAGTCACAATTCTCTGGTGCTCAGAGACACTCAAAAACAAACACTACTCAGGTTGGTGTCTGTTTCCTTTCCGTTTCCCCTCATTATCATCCTGTTGATAATGGGGGGAAAAAATCCCACACACAGTCCCAGACCTTGACCCTAGGTGGGGGGTTCAGCTGAGGTAGCGCCATCAAAATATCACCTGGCTTCACATACAAAACTCCTTCAACATTTTTCACCAACTTACTGTGTATGACAGTGGTATCCAGCATCATTACCTACCAACCTACAGCAACTGAGCAGTGGGAGGCAATATTTGGAAAAGTCAGGGAAATCATAAATCAGTGGTGCATCACTGGCATGCAGTGTTTTCCACACACAGACTGAACAGCCCACTCAAACGCACTAACAGCTGCAAAGGATATCTGGTGACTCGTTTTAGCATCTTATTTTCAAAGCTTAATAGCTGCCAACAACCTAAGCCAACACCTTCCAGTCTCTTTATCCCTGACAGACATAAGCTTAGCATCTCCACAGCTTCCACTTCCGAATGACTATTGGGCAACTCCAGAAGTATGTTTACTCATTCACAAAAATATTCAGGTTTTTTCCCAATTTGTTATGAAGAAGACAATTCCACTCATTCCTTGTAATCACTGGCTATTTTATGAAAAGGAAGGAAACTTGTGCACAGAATGGCTCTCAGTACTTTAAGTAGTAGACCAAGTTGGCCAAAAAAGAAAAAAAAATGTCCACATGCCATTCCTGAGCACTTCTCCTCCATCTGATGGGATTTCCTGTAGGTCATGGGCTACGCTGGCAGCCATGTAGTTACTTCCACTTAGAAAGGCTAAGTTTAGCTTTTAAAAGTGTGCGAGTGCACTCCTCTTTACATTAGCAGGGTGTGTCCCCTCACCACAGGGCACAGATTTATTCCATGGAAACCTGTCCCACAGCACAGAGATCACCAACTTGC